CTTTCGTCCTCGCCCCACATTCCAGTTGGTTGTGACGTGGTCTTGCAAGAGAAGCCAAAGCTTTCCAAACTCATTTACATCGAAGTTTGACATTTGCACGATCGCCTCAGATCCTCCTGTGTTGTAAAATTTATCAAACACAGGAGAGCTGGACGTGCATTCGTCATCAGAGTCTTCTTTTGTGGGGTCCATGTCGTATTCGTCAATGTCTGCCTCGCGTTCAACAGCTGCATCGGCAAGCAGTCTCAGTGCGCTATTAACGTCGACATGTTCCGCTAAAGGAGCATTGGGAGGTGTAGGACGGGCACCGGAGGGATTGGGAGAAACCGGCATAGTGGTGAGAAAAAAAGGGGCTGAATTGGTCTGGTGATAGCGCTGGGACAGAATTTGTGCATAGTTAATGCGCAATGTTGAAGTGAATTCGGTGAGAAATGTGTCTTATGAGCGTTTGGCGTGGCAATGCGCAAAGGGGCGGGGTTGTGTAAAAATTTTGAAATTCTGCATTTCGACGCTGTTTATGATAATTGATACTGTATTGTGTAATCGCTCTGTCTTTACGTAAAGTTGATGTGTTTTTCGTAAATGCAGCCATTCTTGTTTATGTGGTCATGATTTCTACAGTGCGAATGGATTTGTCCAAAAGGCCTATTAAGTTAAACAAACGGCATACACCGATGCCGGTTCTGCCTTGGGGTCTGCCTTGTTGTAAATAGACTTTTTTTATCAAACGTGCATGCATATGCAGGTGTCTCCGCGGAGGTGTGTGACGCTTGGTTGGCACAGCTGAGCGCGGATATACGGTACACGTGTGCGAGGCAGTGTGCATTCGGGGGAGTATCGGCGCCCCCCGCGCCCACCTGTGCTACACCGTGTACCGGCGGGTAGCACAGTGTGGTGATGAGACGATGACTCAGTTTATCTTCCTATCTCTCACTTGCTCGCTTAAGGCTAGTCGCCGCTCGCCGTCGTCTGTGCGTGGCTGTGATGCGTGTACTACGTGTATGGTTATCATCACTTGGTGAGCGCTACTGCGACTGCGCTGTTATGGTTATCACCACACTCCTCCCGTCGCTGTAGCGCCACCCTTTTGGTTGGTGCGGGGGTGGGGGGTTGCGCACTTGTAGCTTTTTTTTAAGTGTGTGAATGGTTTCGGAGTGAGCGGCTTTGTTAATATATCTGCGAGCATGTCTGGTGACTGAATTTGGCGTATGCTTATCGCCTTTGCTCTGGTTTGGTGGGTGAGGTAGTGGTGTCTGATGTCAATGAACTTTTTGCGTTTTGTTGGTCACTGTTCTTTGCGACTGGTATTGCAGATTGGTTTTCTATGTGGAAGGGTGTGGCGTCTTGGGACAGCATGCCGATGTCATTGAGTAGAGGTCTGATCCATGTCGTTTGCTGTGCTGAGGATGTTGCAGCAATGTATACTGATTCGCATGTCGATAATATTATCGACAAGCAATCCATCACAGCATATGCTGTGATGGATTGCTTGATAGAGCCCCAACACACAGGTGTTCCATTGTACATGTGGATCATTCCTGATATGGATTTGCAGTCTGTGACGTCTGTTGCGAAGTCCGCATCGCTATACGTTTCGAGGAGGTTTGGAATACAGTGCAGGTCCATTTTGTGTTTTCCTCCTGCAAGTATGAGTCCATGCATCTGTGTGTGTTTCATATATCTGATCAGACGCTTGAGGGCATTGCAGTGCCTTGTCGTGGGGTTTTTCGCGGCTACTGATAATCGGTTGGCGACAAAGTATATGTCTGGTCGCGTTGAGTCTGCGATGTATCTGATGTCACCGAGCAGCTGTTGATACGTTTTGGTGACATGTGGCATTGGTTCGTCTTTGGGGACAGGGCCATGCAATTTTTTGTTGTCGTTGTATGGCGTTGGTTTGCTATTGCATTCGCCCATTTCCGCCTTATTGATGACGTACTGTATCGCCGCTGGTTGTGAGGCATGTATTGAGCCGTTCTTGAGTCTCTTGACTGTCCAGCCTAGTAGTTGGCTTGGTTCGCCCAGCTGCTTGATGTTGTATGCAATGGCCAAGATGGCTGCGAACTGGGTCTGTAATTTTTTGGACGTACTTATGATGGTAAAGTCATCCATGCTGATAGAGAGAATTATGGTGTGGTCATTTTGTCGTCTGTGAAAGAGGCACATGTCTGCCTCTGATTGGCTGAATCTGTGCTTTTTAAGGAGTTTGAATACAGCAGTGAGGTAGGTATGTCCTTCTCCCGGTGTGCCGTATATATTCTTGTTCAGCCTGCCCACTGTGTGTGCGTGTGTGTATGTTCCATCTAACCCTGGGTGCTGTCGTACATACACTTGCTCGCTGCCGGAGTGGTCAAACTTTTCATGCAGGTACGCTGCTTTTATGTCGATGTGCGCGATGTTGATGTCAAATGCTGCGGCAATAGCAAATACGAGTCTGACCGTGGTTTTGTCCGTCATATATGTCGTCGTGTTTTCAGGGTTGAAATGGACGTTGGGGATCATCTTGTCTCCTCTTTCTGAACACCTTGCTTTTCGCTTCATGATCTGGCCTTTCTCGTTTCTTTTGTAGCGGTACCCCATTGTTAGCGGTATGAGTTTGGTTGTTTTGGGGATTTTGTGAGAGGGGAGCCATGTGATAAGCTTGTTTTGGTCTAGGTTATCGAGCTCTTAGTTGTGCGCTCGCGCCCACTGTGCTGCATCAGGGTAACTTTTGGCTTGGCCATGGTGCATTGGGGCGGAGGTTGTGTTGGTTATTTGGGCGGGGGTTTGCTTGGGCGTGGATGCCTTGAATACCACATGAACCTTGTTGTTGGGGTCACGGTCTCGATGATAGACATTGAAGTTCACTGTCCGCACACGTCGTGTTTTGTTGTCTGCCGTGTTCATGACCACGATGTGTTTGAGGTCGGTTGCGTAGAGGTACTGGACGGAGATGGCTCTGTGTTGCATATTGTGCATTGTTGTGTTTCCCATGATGTTGAGAATATGTCCCAGTTGCCCAAATATTAGGTATTGTGGTACTTGCGGCGTGTATCCGTGCTATGCTGTGGTTGGGATTTGTCGTGTGCCGAGGTGAAGCGTGTTATTGTTCTTGAATGCTGCATCCTTGATTGCATCTTCCCAGTGGTCTGTGGGAAGTGTACTGTGGTGTAATGCGGCTCGTGCTGCGTTCAGTATGGTTCTGCTGATTCTTTCGGCAATACTGTTTTCCGGGGGTGAATACAGCACAGTAGTTGTGTGTTGTACCCCACTGTTGTGGTATACGGTTTGCGTCGTGCTTGATAGATACTCTTTTGCATTATCTGTGTGGACTCTCCGTGGTTTGTGGGGTTTGCTTTTGTTGATGTGTTGCAGTACGTTGTTCAGTTGTTCTGCAGTTTCGTCCCTGGTTTTTAGGAAGGTGATTATTAGGTATCGTGAGTTTGTGTCAATCACGTTCATAAAGTACTTGTTTCCTTGCCTTGACAGGGTGGAGAAGGGACCGCATATGTCACTGCTGAGTGCCTCGCCGGTGTTGTAGTTGTGTCGTCTGCGCTGATGTTTGGCTGGCTGGAGTTTTGCTGCTGCGCAGGTTGTGCATGTGATTTTCGGGGGCGGGTTTGCAAGTGATGCTGGGAGGTTGGGAATCATTTTTCTCTGTGCCATTTGTTGTATGGTTGATGGGCCAACATGATTGAATACCATGTGCCAATGGTGGTGTTCATGTTGTGTGCGCGTATTGGCAGTGTCAGGGGGGTTGTGGGCAGGGTTGTGCTGCTGGTGCATGGGGGCAATGTTTTTATGTGCTTTCGGAGTTTGCAATCTGGGCAGCGATTTGGGGGCTTGTGATCCTCGCACTTTGGTGGTTGATCACACACAGGTGGGCGTGGATGCGGGCAGCTGCCCCGACGACCCGAGTATGAAAATTCTTCAAGAACAATTGCGACTTGGCTAAAAATTAAAGAAAAAACTAGATACCGACAAACGGTGCTTCTTTATTCTCTCAATGTTTCTTAAGGTACCCGTTCTCTTGCCCTACTGGGATTTGATGGCTGCCCTTTTATACTAACCCGACAACCATTTAGGACTCTAGACACACATCGTGAGTACAACATTGTCATGCCTAATGTCTAGAAGAACGCTGGAGTGGACTCTGGCGAAGACGCCGCAGCAGCTTTTCCTGCCTTGGCTGAGTTCCCAAAGAATTCAGCTCCGGCGTCGATCGCTGATTGGTTGTCTCCGATCTGTTTCCTGAGCAGATCAGGGCTCACCCGGTAAGTCACAGCTCGACTATTGTAAGTCGTAGTGACCGATGAGCTGCTATGACAAGCGGTTGTTGTGTCCCTGGTACTCTTACTCATAATGACCGTGATAACGGCAATTACAGCTCCGAATTTCCCGGTGAGTTCATTGTAGTAGTAGACAGGCAACAATGCCGACGTTCTTGACGAGGAGGTTGTCGCTTGATAAGTGATCTGCAGATCGTCACCCAGCCTAGACATTATGGCTCCCGCTATCGTCTCGATTGCACCACCAGACATTCCGATGACCGCTGCGCGGATCACGCTAGTAATGAAAGCAGTACCAATAGTGGTACCGGACCACTTGAAGCTCTGAACCTGTGATGAGGAAGCCACAAAACCAAGCGAATGCAGCTTGCCAGAAGTATTCCGGAACACTGCCTCCCATAACCGTGGGTTATTATTGTAGGCGTCATTAGGCTGCTGCCCAGTACCCAGTCTGATCACAGGCGAGCTATCACCTGGTAGAGTGACGGAGCCTTTGGAAAGCAGTATCTGCATAGCAGTTGCTTGGATTGATGTCATCTTGGCGATAAGTGCATTAACGTCGTTGTTAACGACGTTTAGTTTGGCTTTCTGTGCATCATCGCCCTGAGTATATTGAACAGCAGAGGCTACGTAGGTTGACCCGTCTGGGAACACCTTGCCTTCGCTTTTTGTAGGTGCAGATCTCAATCGCTCATCGATTCCTGGTGCCCCTGCTACGGTCTCAGTTCGTTTATGTATAGATATCAGAGTTCCGGGAAACTCTTGACTTTCTACACACTCGCACTCAAACCAGGCCCTGCCTTGTTCGATATGCGGATGAACGTCTTCGGAGACTTCACTTTCTTGTCCGCCGTTGTACTGTACAGTAGATTGTTCTTGGACGGCCTTGTCAAAGTCCATGGTGAGGTGATTGGAACGACTGAACTGGTAGGATATTGCACTTGGTTTTGAAATTATCAACCTGACGGTGGGAGTCGAACGGGAATAGGTAGGGGGCGGGAGCGGACGCAGCTTTTATAAGGCCGCGGGCTTTCGCAGGGGGGTGCAGGGGGAAGAGGACGCATAGGGGGGCACGGGTGTACCGAACACTAACGGGGGCCACCGCCTCACCTGCCACGTGACCCACTCGCTTGTGCCTTGAAGCAGCTTAACCTACCAAAATGCAAAAATCCCGCCATTTCCGCCTTATATTGAAACACGTCCATGCTTTTGCATCCAAACCAAACCCGTTCTCCACTCCCTTGTCCACGCCATACACAAACCTTCTTTTCCGCGTACATTCAGCCCTCTACTATGGATCGAAAGAGCAACTCTGCATCATGAATATTCCCTACACACATTTCTCAAATACTGCAATACTGCTTTAATGAGGTCATATTCTATTAAAACGCTCTGGTATCTATATGGATGCCGATCAACTCCTTGGTCGAAAGTAGGCTGCTGCCCGCAAATCTCCTTACTTGAATGAGTGTAATATAGCCACAACAGTGAGGCACACTCAAATTTTGATAGAAGATATAGTTGTGACTTTTTTAAGCGGATCTCGTTGCATACCTATTCTATTCAGGAGGGTGAGTCGACGCCCCGCATAAGTGATTGGTTAGATAGCAGAGCCGAAGTAATGCCAGTCTGAAGTGTCTACAGGGGTATTCGAGAAGTACTGTCATAGTAGTGTAGCATTAAAAAGTTGCAGAACGACAGAACTTTCAACTGAGGAAAAATATTTACTCAAACATAAAGATGTTGTACAATCACAACACAAAATCATATAGGTATGATACTGAACAGTCTCCTCATTGGAATACCCTCTCTATGAGAACGAACAACATCGTCTTTACCAACCGTCTTCTTAAAGGGAGGGTTCCTTGTATACCATTGCCCCCCACCTGCATCCCGTTTGTTTCACATCGTTCCATTGTATCCGTCTCTCGCTTGCAACCGTTGCAACTAGTTAGAATGTCTCGCGTGTTAAGGAACCCCACAACTGTTTCCTTATATTTCGAGCACCAATTCATCGAACGAACAACTCTACATCATTATGTATTGCATACAGCGTTAAAGAAACACACAAAACATTTTGCGCAGCACCCGTCACTGCAACAGGTATGATACTATACAGTCTCGTCATTGGAATACCCTCTCTATGAGAACGAACAACACTGTCTTACAAACCGTCTTCTTAAAGGGAGGGTTCCTTTTATACCATCTCCCCCACCTGCATTCCCTTTGATTCACATCGTGCCAACCCAATGCATCCGTCTCTCGCTTGCAACCGTTGCAACTAGTTGGATTGTCTCGCGTGGTACAGAACCCCACAACTGCTTCCTTATATAGTTCGAGCACCACGTCCAACTCCATATCTGCCTACCCTCCACCTCTGCATCCAACACATATCATACCCAAGTCCTACACTCTACCACCAGCATGTACTTCTATAGAAAAATGGCACCATCCGTGAACCATCACTAGTTGTAGCGCCCCCCGCCGAGCAGATTACCACCACATCCCCCGTCATAAAAGAACAACAGTCTCATGGCTTCCTTGGAGTGTCAATCGATCACCGGAGCTGCTGTCAGAATGTCAACGTGCGAATCGCTCACGCTGTCGCCTGAACAAAAACCGTCAAAAGATCTGCGGCGATGCGGAGAAGAGCAAAATGGAACAAACATCGAAAAGCGCGAAGTATGCCAATTATCTGAGGCCATCGGCTTCTATTCTAATACGGCCACATCTGCATCCTTCTGTCCATGTGCGTGGAAGGCAATGTGGCATCTATCCCAATGATAACGCAATTCGAGACTGCTTTCGAAATCTCGCCGCCTGACCTGCGGTACAATGTCCGTGGCGTACAGTTTTGTTGCCATTGTCTGCAGTCTGTCACGCATGTACAGACCCGTTGCCCCGCACTTGATCTACTTCAATGTTCTATATTCCGCCATCGTAGATACAAGTACACTCAAACATGAAGATATTGTATAATCACATCACAAAGTCATGGGCACGCCATAAACGTTGTGACCGGGTCGGCGAATAAAAAGCGAATTGTATGGCAGAATCCCTGCGTAAGAGTCTGAACTTTAACAACGACAAACGATGATTCTATTCCCCATTCACAGATACTTTTGCCTCAGCCATTGCTGGTGAATCCAATGCACTTACCAATTCCTCGGTACCACGACGAAATCGGTCCCTCGCAACGATTCTCACAAATGCTCTGGAAACATGACCACCACCTACATGACCAATAAATTGAAAATGGGGCGGGGGGGGGGGGGGGGGGGGGGATATCTCACTTGGGGTTGTGTAAAGAGAAAAGTTTTCAAGATGCAGGAATTCAAGAGGCAGGAACTCGTTGAGTACAGACAAGTAGAGACGGGCTGAAGTGGACGTTTTTCTTCTTTCTTGAATTGTCTGGTCTCTCACCACTGTATATCTACCATTAGCCACCCTCAACCCATTTCGAGCTACGACCTAGTAAATATGAGCCCCGATTTACATTCAGAATCGTAATCTGCTGCAGACGTGGGTACAACCTTGAGAAAAGTACCGCACTGAATTATAGTCTGGCTCCCGTTTTCAGTAGACTTATCTTGCCAGGGAGGCAACATATTCTAAGCCTTTCAGTTGACTTGCAGCTATGCGAAAGCTAAATCGAGAAGAAATGCCTGCAAACGGGAGGTACTGTGTTTCTGAGCGCCTGAGAACAGAAATATACATCTTGAAAGCAATTGAAGAGAGCTTTTGTTATTCGTTTGTTGGTCTTGAGATTGTGGACAGATTTTTGTTGGTTGGCGTAAGGCTTGAATGTGTAAACAGACTGCGGTAAAAAAAGAGAAGCTAGTGTGCTTAAGTTGGCACCAGTATCAACCTTGATCCGCCACAGGGTTAGTACTGTAGTGGACCGATGGGCATGACTTTTGCGCCGCCCGCCGCCGTCGCCCACGCCCGACCACTTCTCCCAGACCATCACGGACCCCGTTTGCGTCGGCGCCTTCGATCCCGCCTTCGCCTCCGACGCCGACACCGACAGTCCGGCCTCCGGCTCCTCCGTCTGGCGCAGCGACTTCTCCCGCGTCCACAGCGTCGCTAGCTCCGGCCGCGCCAGCAGCACAGACCCCTTGCCACTAACTCTCGACCGGCCGACCCTTCCGACACCCCCGTCGCCGCCGCTCCGCCGAAACCCGCCGACGACCCGCCGCTCCACCGCATGCGCGACATGCAAAACCGCCCCAACTCGCTGCGCTTCGACGCGCACGTCACCGTGCTTCAAATAGCGCCGGAGGAGCCTGTCGCGGACGCGCGCGACACGCCCACCGACGAGACCGCCACCGGCGTCGGGGCGCCCGAGGGTGCGGCCGCGGCGTGCAGAGCAGCGCCGTTCGCAGGCGAGCGTGTGCTCAGCGACAAGCAGACGCCGCCCGCGTGCACGTTCTCGCGCGACCGGGCGCGGTCGTTCTACGGGCGCGCCATGAAGGACAAGAACGACGCCGAGGAGGCGCAGGGGCCCGGCACGCGCGGGCCCGTGTCCGAGGAGAAGATGCGGGGGGCCGTGCTCGACGAGGATTTGCATGCATTTGTGGGTTTTGAAATCGGACCCAAAAACGGAACCGTTGAATACCGACACGAAATCAAGGTCCCCGAAATTCGGTCGTCCACGCAGGCGCATTTGCGTCCACGCCAAATCCCTACAGTAGGCCTTTTCGACAAATCCATCCGCACTGTAGAGATCATGACCACATGTTGACAGCTAAAAAAGGGGGCTGCGCGCGTAGGGGAGAGAGAAAAGCGAGATGTTTATTTCAAGAGGGGGGGTCGGTCCCGGTGTTGTTGTTTTTTTTTTCTGTTGTCCCCCCTGTCGCGGGGTGTCGCGGCGCGCCCCTTTCTCTTATAGAGGGGCGGCCTGCATCTTCCACTTCCCAGGACCGCCGCCCTTCAAAGGGAGATTGTCCACGTGTACACCTGGCGTACACGTAGACCAATAAAATCATCTTTTGAAGGCTTTGGTCCTGGGGCCACTCCTGGGTACTGTACCCTGTACAGTACCCAAAATCTCCCCCACACGACCCCCTCCCCAGCCCCATACCCGGGCAGGGGCAACATATATACTGACCGGTGCTGCTCCTGGTGATCGGCTTGAGTCAGGGAACCGGCGCTCGACCTTGACGATTTCATTTGACACAATTTAGTGTCACCATCGACACCAATCCCCCAATCGCTCCACGTATACACGTGTACAGCTCATCATCGCTGTAAGCTGTCACTTCAATCATTATCCTACCCACCTTCTCTACTTTTCACACAACTAACTTCGGTGTTCCTGCGTTTTTTTTCTTGAAGAACCTGTCAACGCGTCAGGTTCTAATTGCCTCCAGTCTCAGAGATCGCTGATTGCTTGTGTGGCGGACTCAGGTGAGGTTTAAATTCTCGGGTCTGCCCCTTGCAAGAAAGCTGATCTGACGAGGATGGCGAAAACCAAGCAGACGGCGCGCGCCGCAGTACTGGCGGCAAGGCGCCCCGTCAACATATCGCGTCGAAGGCGGCGAGAGTATCCGTTGAAGAGCACAACGCTCGTGAGAGGATAATGTGGCTATTGTCTCAAAGAACGGACGTAATGAAGGTGTCGAAGAATGAAGAAGCTTCGCCTCGTTTTCCGTACCATGTTTGGGTTGGACCAAATCTGACAAGGTATGACTTGGATTTAAGGGAAATGCTCCGCCTTTTCGGTCGACATGTGGTCATCCACTTAAGTGCGCGAGGAAAGCACGGGGTCTCGGTACATGAATTTTCCCGAGTCGGGCTGACTGAATCGATTGACGATAAGCGTGCTTATGATCACGTGGAGGATGATGCTTGGAATATTGAGTCTATCTGCTACGATAGACTCGCAAATAAGTACGTTGTGGTACAACCGTAGGGACGCTAAACCGTAAACGGAAAAGGACAGGCTGTAC